CTGGGAGGCTCACCTGGAAGGCACCCCATCTGACCACCTTTCAAGACCCAAGAAAGACGACCTCCTGATTTCTCCAGGCCTTCACAGAGCATAGGAAGTGGCCTTATGCCAGGTCCAAATCCAGAAGCATAGTGGGGGCAGGGGGGCCATGGCCCCAGACACACAATTTCGAGGGGTGTGTGAATCAGGTTCCCCCATGCAGGGATACCTGTCCCACCCTGCCTGCTGCCAGCGGTCTCTGGGCCCCAGAACCTCACCTGGCCTCGCCACTGTGTTCCCAGCACCATTGCTGAATGGCCGTCCAACCAACTCTCTCTCCTTGCTTGGAGGGTGAACGGGTGCGAATGGATGGAGGTGGGTGGGCAAGGGCTGACCTTCAGCATGGCTTGGCCCTGCACTCCTCTCCATGCCACAGGGGTCAGGGAGGATTTGCCGATCAAAGGCCACAGGGGTCAGCCAGGCTCCCCCCTGTGCAGGCAGGCAGGGTAGGACAGCCCCACTTGGCTCCAGTAGCAGGGGCGTAGGAAGGGGGGCGGTGGGGGCAGTGTGCCCCAGGTGTCGTCGCAGGGGGTGACAAAATCCCCCCTGTGCGGATCGCCACGCCGCCCCCCTGGGCGCTGATTGCCACCAGTGGGTGCCAATTGCCATGCCGATTGCCCCCCCCCAGGCAGCTCAACCTGCCCCCCAGGTGCATGGCATGTGCACCACTCTGGGTGCCCGAGTAGCTAGCTCCACCACTGTCCAGTAGTGGAAGATGGGCTGGTACAGAGGGCTCTGTTCACCCTCTGAGCCTCTCCCCTGTCCAGCATGTGAGCCTCAGGTGTTGGCAAACACCACGACTCAAATCTTTGCCTACCCAGCTCAGTATTTTTGTCTTCTGTCTTGTAGTGACCTTTCTGGGATCTCAGGCAGAGAGGAGATCCCTTGCCCACCAATATGCTGCTCTCCCTGAGTGCCTTTCAACCGGAAATGCTTCTTGGGAAGGAACTTTGTCCATCTGCATGTAGATCAGGTGCTCTGCTGCTTAGCTTCCATCTTGTCCTATTTTGACCTCCCTCCTCTAGTGATTGGTTCATATTAATGAGATATTCTTTGAACCAAAGCATTTTCAGGCACACCCAAAAAAATCAGCTGCTGTCTGGATTGCAATGAAATGCCCCGGGTTCTGAAGTCAAGGTATTTGCTCCTGGCTATGCCAACTTCAGGGACGCGGGTGGTGCTGTGGGTTAAACCACAGAGCCTAGGGCTTGCCGATCAGAAGGTCAGCAGTTTGAATCCCCACGATGGGGTGAGCTCCCATTGCTCGGTCTGAGCTCCTGCCCACCTACCAGTTCAAAAGCACGTCAAAGTGCAAGTAGATAAACAGGTACTGCTCCGGTGGGAAGGTAAACGGCGTTTCCGTGTGCTGCTCTGGTTAGCCAGAAGCGACTTAGTCATGCTGGCCACATGACCCGGAAGCTGTATGGCGGCTCCCTTGGCCAATAAAGCGAGATGAGCGCCGCAACCCCAGAGTCGGCCACGACTAGACCTAATGGTCAGGGGTCCCTTTATCTTTACCTTTATGCCAACCTCATGAATGTTCAGCTCCACTTTCCCCTCCCTTCAATCTTTTAATCTGGTGTTCCATCCTGCATTGATCCACAATGGTGTTTTGTATACACTTTGGGCTTTGGCCAGTGGATAAGAGATCTCCTTGCCTTTCCTAAACAGGGCAACAACATGCAACATGATCTCTAGCCTTGATGAAAATCAGATGAAGTCTGGATATAATGAGGGCTGATGTTCTCCCCACCCCATATTACTGTCCTCTAGTCAGCTATTAATTTTTCATAGGAAATCAATCTGGTTGAGATTATGTTCAGGAACATTTCCTAACATTCTCATATTAAAAGGTAACATGAATCAAACATTTACAGCATCTATTAGTTAGGACAAAGAACAAACACACTGAGCTGGTAATAAGGTAGCAATGAATTCCTGATAGGTAGCATTCAGACACTCATTAGCCAATGGGGTCTGGTCTCAGCCACTTTTGCCCTCATCTTATGAGCAGCAGCCATGACCTGCACCTCTCTCTTGGTTCTTGAGGTTGCTGTTGCTGCAGCCAGCCAACCTGCCTACTTTTCTCGGGTGCACAGAAAGCTCACACACGGCCTGAATTATGGCAGCCCCCTGCAGTGGCTGGAGCTGGGCCACCTCTGCAGGAAGCATTCCAAAGCATTGTTGCCAAATGGCTGGGATGTAAAATTAAAAGCAAGCTGCGAAACATGATGTTGCATCAATGTAATTATTTCCACAACGCCCAAGAACACTGTGGACAACTGCCAGTTGTGACTTGGCCACTGCCAGGCCTGATGGATTCTTAGCACCAGGGAAGGACTGCCTTTGGAATGGAGCATTGTGCTTTTCATATATTATGCATTGCCTTGGTCAGAGACCAGGGCCCAAATTCAACTAAATGACCTCACCAGTGGAAGCCCATACAAGGACTTCTGATAGCACAATGAGGTTCCCCACCCTCTCCCACTTCTGCCCCACCTAAATTGGCTTTGAGGGGGTCTTAGAAGAAACCCCAGAACAGTACGTTAGGGGAGGAGAGGGAAGGGAAGGAGAAATGTTTGTGTTGGACCAATCTCCTTAGCACTCCATTGAATTCCCTCAAAATATACCATTATAGGTGAGGGGAAACCTCCCTAAACCTAGAAATTAATAAATAGTAGGATTTTGATTATTTGGGGTGTGAAGGGAGAAATACAAGCTGCAGAGGAATTCCTGAGCTAGCCTATGCAAAGCGAGCTGGCCAAACTAGGGTTATTAAGAAACAATACAGGGCCACTGAAAGCCATTGGCAATGCTTTGCCATTGGCAAAGATGAATAAACCATAATTATTAAAGCTACAACAGTCTCAATTCTCCAAAGGAACGCAGACCCTGGGTGAGCGTCTGGTACCCCCAGGAATCTTGCAGAGAGTAGGGGTGGCACACAACTTTTGCAACAATACTTTATTTAAACTCAAATCAAACTTCTGTATCAGATCTTTCTTCTAAGAACAGCCTGGCAGCTGGGTCAGGCTAATGGGGGCCCGTCTAGTCCAGCTCCCAGATGCCCCAAGAAAAGCCAATAAGACGTGCCATGAGTTCAAGGTCTGCACTCCCCCCCCCCGGTGAGGCCCCACAATTGCAACTGATATTCAGAAGGACAGGTTGCCCAGTTACTCAAAGTTTTAAAAACAGCAGATTCTGAAACAGGGTGGTTGCTATGAAGATAGAGGAAATGTGAATGCACCATCGCTGACCTTTATAAATAACAAAGTCTTATGGCACCTTAAAAACCTAACAAATTTATTTCTGCATATAAGACTAATACAGATAACTTTTTTTAAAAAAACATGCAAAATCAGGTGTTGGTTCTGAAACTGCATTTCTCACAAGAGATCTCCAAGGCTTCCAATGACACTGATGTTCTCCTTGAAATTCTGTTTTTATTTTTGTGCCTTTGGGGCGCAAACATAATGATCCAAAGCAGCTCACACTGAAAACTTTTTTGTGTGTGGTAAACTCAGATAAACACTTTTGCATTGTCATATGGTTCAAACATCTTAGCACTGTCTCACCATTGCCTTTTTTAAGGGGGAGGAGTGGGGTGCCTAAATAATGAAAAGTTGAAAGTAAATGGGGAGAAAAATAGTACATGTTGTCCTCAGCAGAAACAGGAACTCTGCCCTGGTAATTTAGGGTAAATGTAGTAATGGGGAGAGGGATGGGGAGTGGAGGCATGGAAGGATCAGAAGGTGCCGTGAAATATGGTTAATTCAAAGCCCAAGAAATAGGCAGCCACACCAAAACACAGCGTGAATTTCCACTTTTGCTACAATTCTCCATCTTCTGCCTTCCTTAGGAGGGTGTGACTGACCTCTAACACAGTTTGCAAGAACACACCTTGAACAGCCAAGGATGCGACTTCTTCTCATCTGCAAAACAAAAATGCCACATTTAAAAAAACCTTCTGATCCATTTTGCATGTTTTTAAAAGGTTCCTACGCACATGCAGGCACACACTTGACTTTAGAACAACACATTTTCATAACCTTTAACAAACATCTGCAGAAATTAAGCCTTGGATAAATTTTACAGTGTTGTGGCCCAAAACAACACACACACACACACACACACACACACACACACACACCCCTCCATACCACAGACTGGTATCTGCGCAACTTCTCACCTCTCATGTACCTAGAAAATGGAGGGGCAAGGAAAGTCCAGCTTAAGAAGTGTTTGTGTGTGAATCTTTCCCCCTCACTCTAGAGGTCAAGACCTGAAATTAGGTCACCTGCAGAGGCAAAAAGCCACGCAACGGTGAATGGAGTGGTACGTGGCAAAAGGGTGGGACAATGGTTAATAGACTCCTCAACTTTTTAATTGCTTTACTGTAGCCTATGGGATCTGATGGGTCAGGATCACAGATAAATCCTGGATTAATTTATTGCTTGACCAAATTGATTTCAAAGCCCAACAGATGGATGGCAGACACATTATCTGGATTATCAGAAATTCCACAGAAAAGCTAGATAATACCAATAGATCAAATTATCATTTGACTTTATGTGGTTGGCGCACATTGTTTACCAAAATCTGGCTATTGTTTCAAATGCATTGTTCAACTTGGTTGGATGCTGTGCAAAATCCCTGGGTGTGACAAACTGAAATGCCGGCTCGATACATTCCTTATGCATTCCTCAAATTATTCAAATGTCATATGAATTGTCTGCTTAGCTGATAGGCTTACAACAAGGGAAAGGTAGTGATGACGTTTTCATTATTATTTTCAAAACAAGCTATGGCTAAGGCTGGCCATTTCTGAAGAGCTTAACACACAGGAAAATGAAAACATTAAAAAAAACCCCATTGATATATAATAACAGAGAAGTGCCCCTTATTGAATCAGACCAAAGGTCCATCATCGCCCAGAGAACAGTCAGATGTTACTAGGGGTACCTTGGATAGCTCAACTGGTGGAGCAAGAGACTCTTAATCTCATGGCTGTGGGTTCGAGCCCCACATTGGGAAAAAGATTCCTACATTTCAGGGAGCTGGACTAGATGATCCTCATGGTCACCTTCCAATGCTACAATTCTAAGCAGCAGATGAAGAAGGCAAGAGCTCTCTTTTCCACTGCCTGCTCACAGCATCTCCTGCAAATGGAGGTGATCCATACCCACTGTGGCTAACAGCCATAAGATTAATGGTCAGCCTAGCCCAGAATTCTGTTGTTCACAGTGGCCACTCATATGGTTCCCACTGAAGCTTACATGCAAGGCCTGAAGGTGATGATGACCAACCCCTGATTTTCGCCCTGCCCCTGGCACTTGCGTTGATACTGCCTCTGACCATGGAAATTCTATTTGCATGGAATTAACTTCCATGAGTTTATACTGAATACCCCTCCATCTCTGCTCTTGCGCCAGTTCATTTGGTTCAAAGGCTACAGCTGGCCTTGCAAGGTCCAAGCTGTCATGCCAATTCTCCTTGGCAGGAACTCCTTCTCCTGCCATTCCTAAAATGTGTCATGCCTGCTTTTTGTTTGCAAGACATGCCCCTTTCAGCCCATTAATCTTCTCTTGCTTGTTGACCAACATTTCCAAAGCAAGGTCCTTTGAAGGTCTCCCTCTCCCCTGACCAGCCTGCCAACTCATTAAAGATAACATGGAGGGGGGGCTCCTCTGTGTCCCACAGTGGAGTTCTGGACATCTTGGACCATGGTTGTCTTCCACTGGCTAGTGGAGACCTTTTTGTTCCAGCAGGCTGTTGCCTTCCTAGGCAGATAATGCTTTATCTGAAGATCATGTTCTTATTTGCAGTGTCTGCCTTCACTGTGTTTAGCTGATTCAGTGGTCATTCAGAGTGTCATGCCCAGTTCTAGAGGTGGACCATCCTGTTCCACCACCTGTGAAATGGGAAGGTGCCACCAGCACCACCAAAACCTCACCAGCATCACATGGTGGTGGAGGAGGCTTCCAATGAGATCTCATGGAACTCTTGTGAGATCTTGCGGAAGACTTGAGATAGCTCCACAAGATTTTGGTGGAAGCTGTTGGTGCCTTGCAATTCTGGCCGCAGCAGCTGGGAAGGGATGGGTGCCACCCCATGGGATTCCTTCACCCAAGATGGCTGCTTCAGTCTGCCCCAACCAGATGCCCCTAAGGGATGAAGCACACAAGCAGGGCCTGAATGGAACACAGCCTGCTCCTCACTTGCAATTCCTTGCTATTGGAACTCATCGTTCAGCCTGGACACTGAGGTCCAGCTCCAAGGGCTTTCTGGCGGTTCCCTCACTGTGAGAAGTGAGGTTACAGGGAACCAGGCAGAGGGCCTTCTCAGTAGTGGCGCCTGCCCTGTGGAACACCCTCCCATCAGATGTCAAGGAAATAAACAACAATCCGACTTTTAGAAGACATCTGAAGGCAGCTCTCTTTAGGGAAGTTTTTAATGTTTGAAGTTTTATTCTGTTTTTAATGTTCTGTTGAAAGCCGCCCAGAGCGGCTGGGGAAACCCAGGCAGATGGGTGAGGTAGAAATAATAATAAATTATTATTATTATTATTATTATTATTATTATTATTATTACAGTGGTACCTCGGGTTACATACGCTTCAGGCCTTTTGATTACTTGGACTGCCAGGGCAAAACAGGTGCAAAACGCCGGCACCCTGTCGTCTACAACTTCATTGTCCACAACTTTATCAACATCTTTCTACAATCCTACTAGCATCTCTTGGTGTTGTGAATATCACCAAACTTACCTTTTGTTGGTATCTTCATGAACTTATCTAAAAGGCTGAGTGAAGCATTTGAAAAATCTATTGAAACCAGACATCATTTTAGGCTGGGTAGTTCGCAAGTCTTTGTGGTTTTGTTTAATGTTTTGTATTTTTCTCAGAAGGTTGATAAGGTATGTATAATTATTGTTCTGTGTATATTAATTGCCAACGTGTTGCATGAGTCGCACTACGCCACCCTGGAAAGCACGGCTTTGGCACAGGGGTCAGAGGGGGGTTGGCAAGTTCCCGTTTCACCTCCGGCAGTGAAGCAGGATGGGCAGCCCCTGTTGGGCACCCTTCCCATCTTCCCGGCACTGCTGGGCTTTTGCTTGCCCAAAGATTAAGAGGCAGGCATCAAGAAGGACCTGGGCTCCTCTCTCCAGACCTCTCTTTTCAAACAAGGGCTTCTGTCAGAAGTGTCTCAATTTCTTATCACATAATTCCATCCCTACAAGCGGCAATAAATAATTCATGTCCCCGGGTCTTTGTTGCGGGTCCCCAAACTGCCCGGCAAGGGGAGGCTGACAGCTGTGTCAGGGCAAGCGCTGAAGATCTGGCGTGACAAGGCGACTAACAAGTCGTCATCCCTCCCCCCCGGTCAGTCAACGGGGGAAAGTCGACAATCGCACAGAGTGTGAAAACAAAACCCTGAAATGAAATGAAGCTGTCCCTTTCTCTCTCTCTCTAGATGCTGGCTATGAGCTGATTTCCAGCCCCATAACCTCTGGCCACATTAGAGGACTCCCAGCCGCCCTCTCTATTCTTCACTCTCGCCTGTCCATTTACGCCTGTCCACGGATCAATATGAGCAATTCTTGGAGAAATACGATGTCGCCATGGCAACCAAGCTACAAATTCTCAGTGGGAAGCAACGAGCCCCGTAGAAAAGTCTCTGGAGGTTTCCTGACCGAGGAGGAGGAGGAAAGTTCTTTAAAATGCAGGAATGGACAGAGGCCAAGGCTGGGGAAATTCATGACTCCTTGCAAAGGCAATGATTGCAAAGAGAGCAAGCCAGGCAGAGCTCTCAGATGCAGCAGAGAGGCTGCACCAGTAAACATATTCTCTGGCGCACCTCTGCCTGTGGGCTAAATCTCCCTTAACTCCTCTGCTGCTGGCCTGACACCTCTTGGATTTCAAGCTGCACATCTCTGAGAGAGGGGGGAATGGGCTCCATTTCAAGGGAGCTAATGGCAGAAATACCGTATTTTTTTCTGCTATATAAGACGCACTAGATCACAAGACGCACCTCATTTTTGGAGGAGGAAAACAAGAAAAAAAAATTTCTGAATCTCAGAAGCCAGAACAGCAAGAGGGATCGCTGCGCATTGAAAGAAGCAATCCCTCTTGCTGTTCTGGCTTCTGAGATAGCTGCGCAGCCTGCATTCGCTCCATAAGACGCACACACATTTCCCCTTACTTTTTAGGAGGGAAAAAGTGAGTCTTATAGATCAAAAAGAGTATTTGCAACTGCAGGCTGTTCGTTGTTACAACCAAACGAAGCCACGGGATATGCTCTTTTTGTTACTCAAATTGCTGACTTTTATTGTTTTTGAGCCAGTCTCAGAAGAAGCTCCTGCCCTCCTTTAACTTAGGTGTTGGTGCTAACCTTTAAAGCCCTAAACGGCCTCGGTCCAGTATACCTGAAGGAGCATCTCCACCCCCATCGTTCAGCCCAGACACTGAGATCCAGCGCCGAGGGCCTTCTGGCGGTTCCCTCCCTGCGAAAAGTGAGGTTACAGGGAACCAGGCAGAGGGCCTTCTCGGTAGTGGCGCCCGCACTGTGGAACACCCTCCCACCAGATGTCAAGGCAATAAACTATTTTACTTTTAAAAGACAACTGTTTAGTTTTTAATGTCTGACACTGTAGAGTGATACCTCGGGTTACATACGCTTCATGTTACATACGCTTCAGGTTACAGACTCCGCTAACCCAGAAATATTACCTCGGGTTAAGAACTTTGCTTCAGGATGAGAACAGAAATCGTGCTCCGGCGGCACGGCAGCAGTGGGAGGCCCCATTAGCTAAAGTGGTGCTTCAGGTTACGAACAGTTTCAGGTTAAGAACAGACCTCCAGAACGAATGAAGTTCTTAACCCGAGGTACCATTGTATTGTTTTTAATATTCGGTTGGAAGCCACACAGAGTGGCTGGGGAAACCCAGCTGGATGGGCGGGGTATAAATAATAAATTATTATTATTATTATTATTATTATTATTATGGCACGAGAAGAGTTGTTCCTCCTGCATTCCTGGGCAGCGCTAGAAACCAAGCCCAGCTCAGAGCAGGTAAATGGTGGAAGGCTCCTTTTCACCTCCCCCCTGGAGAATCCTGTGCTCTGAAATCCAATCGTGTAGCCCACAGCCTGAGGTGGGGTCTGAGATGACTTCAGGGACCTGACATGGATTTCAGGCTGCTGCACCCTTTCACTGAAAATTAAATCTCAGCAGTGCTCCTTGGGGAAGGATCAGGCCGCTCAGCAGCTGCCCTCTCAGCAGCACACATGCGTGGCTAGATTTGGGGAGCTTTTAACTAAGCTGACAGAACTCAGCTTATGGTTCACAGATTGGCACACAAAGATGTAGGAGAAGAAAATATGTTGGTGGCAGCAGGGCAGGGGGGAGGGAATGGATGGACAAGGCTGCTTAGCCCTTTCGTGAGTGAGAGACAGCAGTCTGCAAATTCTCCGGAATACAGCCCTGGCCGATTGGGTCAAAGGAGGGACATGTCATAACTTCAGTACTTTGTGCACAAATATATATCAGCCCATGGGATGCTCCAGGAGATTTTCCCCTCTCCCTTTATTAAAATATTAGGAAAATAATATTAGGGAAAAGGTCGCATTGGGAAGAGAAGCGCAAACAGCAGAAATAAATAGGAGGCTAAAATAATCACGAGCAGCTGTTGGAAAATTTAGCTTTATATCAAAAAATATATCTATAACCTTATATTTGAAAGCTAAAGTGTTTGATATGCGCATTTTATCTGTGATGGAGCGGAGAACTGGACCATGACACAGAGAAACGTGAAAGCTTAAGAACAGCACAGCATGTCATAGAACAGGCCAGCTAAGAAAGATCATTAAAAGATGGAAAAGATAATAAATGGATATGACAAAGATCAAAAGTTGGAGATGTAGTGGGAAGTTAAAATGGACATATGCAGGACATGTGACAAGAGATGAAACAATGGAGAGAGCTTGGCATCTTTCCAAAGATGGATGTGAGAAGAGGGAGAAGGAGAAATATAGT